GTCGAGTTCGTTTATTGGGGTAGCCTCTTCCTCGTGGATGCTTTCGATGTGTCCCTCGGGGGTACCTGCCATGAAACATTCACGAGAGGGGTGATGGCTCCCCCTGCTGGAGTCAAAGGTGGAGGGCAACTCTGTTTCTCCCATAAGGAGATCGTGGAAAGACTCCGCAATATATTCGGTCATCCCTATGAACTCATCATTCGCGGGGGATAGAGGCTCGCGTTGCGCCATAAGGTGGCCAATGGTCTCTGTGGCGTTGCGTAGATCGAGCGGGAGCGCCGTCAGAGCTCTCCAGATGAGGTATTCCTGGGAGAGCGGCTCTCCTCCCGCAAGTTGCGCCATGACGTTAGCGAACAAGAAGGTGAGGTGGTGCAGGTCCTCCTAAGACGGTCGGGGTCCCAGGAAGGCGCTGAGCTAGCGCTCTAACCTTCCGTAGTCGAAGTCGAGAAGCTGGTTGCCCCCAGGGGCGCGGGCCTCCGGTGCGTGCAGCTATAGCTCCTTAAGCGCCTCGGTGATCGTGTCGAGGCTGGCGGAGTGGAGAGGTTGGATGGTGGCAGGAGCCAGCACCAACTCTCCCTCCGTCGTGACAATGAAGTCCAGGTCCACGAAGCGTACATGCACGCCCGGGACCCAGCTGACATTGTGACTAGCCATCCGAGTCCTGGTGTGGACGTTGAGACGCGCAAAAGGCCCTACCTGGCGCGCCAACTGTTAGTGTTTCGAGTTACCACCAACGAGTAAATTTCTAGTATTGCGCGTCTGGCTCGGATGGTGTGCTTAGAGGACACGAGGTTTATACTGGTTCGGGTAGAATGTCCCTACATCCAGTTGATCGCTGCTGCTCATGTTACTAGCATTGAAAGTTTATAGTAGGGGTTACAAACGGGCGAGAGAGGGACAGATCCCAAGTCTCTGGTGGAAAGAGTGAACGGTGTCAAGAGCTCGGTTGCTGCTCAGCCGTGTGCTTGTGTTGTGTTCTGGTCGGTTCGTGGTTCGATGGGTTCGTGGTGGTTCGATCGGGTTTGGCCTAGATCGATCCGATGCCCCCAAATGGGGCGTCCTGCTTTTCCTTTTATAGATCAAGGGAAAGTACGGGTTACAGCGGAGGGAAAAGAGAAGAACTAGAGAGAGAGCCGAAGGCCCTCAGGGTCGTCGGGTCCTTCTTCTCCTTCATGCAGGTCCCGTCGACACAGTAGATGTCAACAGGGATGGCACCACGTCGCGGTCTTGTCCGTCACTGGCACCATGCGTAGGCGTCGTCTGCCGGTCATGGCGCTCCGCTCCATCCTGGCAGACGTCGTGGTGAACCGACGTGCCTATCAGTGTTCGTACGAGGGTTAGGTAGAACAGTACCGGTACGCCCAACATTGTTCTTGATGTGGATCCTCAGGTGTGGCCCATTGTGGCCGGTCTCTTCCTTAGCGTTAGAGTTTTTACCCAGGCCCATACGCTTGGACCTAGAGTGATTGGCGGCGGTATGGGTCTCCGTCGGACGAGACGGAGCCTGCGACCTTGGGGTCGGCCGAGGCGGAGCGCGAACCCAAGGGTCGGGCGAGGTGGAGCTCGCGGCCTCGGGGTCGGGCGAGGCGGAGCCCTCCGCCAGAGGCCGATCGAGGCGGAGTGCAGACCCAAGGGTCGGGCGAGGCGGAGCCCGTGGCCTCGGGGTCGGGCGAGGTGAAGCCCTCCCCCAGAGGTCGGTCGAGGCGGAGCGCGGACCCAAGGGTCGGGCGAGGCGGAGCCCTCCCCCAGAGGCCGGTCGAGGCGGGGCGCGGACCCAAGGGTCGGGCGAGGCGGAGCTCGCGTCCATGGGGTCGGGCGAGGCGGAGCCCGTGGCCTCGGGGTCGGGCGAGGTTGGAGCTGTAGTCGCGCTTGTGACTGCTCGGATGAATCAATGTTGATGATCATTAGCTCCTCCTCTTCGGGTACCCTAGTATTGATCCCCGACACGTATGTTTTTAGTATTTTAGATGTTTCAGATTTATGTTGCAAGTGTTTTATCTGAGTGTTGCAAAAGGAAATCTGAATCTTGCATATGTTGCTATGACTATACTCGCATGTTTTAAGTGTTTCATCTGTTTCAGACGTATGTTATAAGTGTTTTATTTGGATATTTTAAAAGTAGATCTCAGGAGAGCCCATGTTACAATTGTATGGTGCTGCTGCTGCGTGGTCACCGTATGTTTCAAAAATGTGCTACTGTTGCGTGGGTCGCTGTGTCGCCGTGGGTCACCGTGTTGCCTAGTGCTGCGTGCGTCCATGCGGGCGTGTGACCAGCCGGCTGATGGTGCTGCTGCTGTGTGCATGCAGGCGCATGAAACTCCGGGGCTCGGTGGTCCCCGCTTTGCTGCTGTGTGTGCATGTGTGGGACGAGCTGTTTTTCAACAGGCGCGTGACGGAGAAGGCTCCCTTCTTTGATCGATTGAAAGCAACTTTATTTATTTGCAGGAACTTGGAGCTAACAACGAGCAAGCTGTACGTACTGCCTGTCCGGCCCGTCCTAGATCTACTGCCTGGTGCGTCGACGAGGCCTCGTTTAATTTATCTCCAAAAATTTACGCTCTATCCTATTAAATATTTGGACAAATACATAGAGTATTAAATATAGACTAAAAATCAACTAATCGTACAGTTTACGACTAATTTACGAGACGAATCTTTTAAGCCTAATTAGTCTATGATTTAATAATGTGGTGCTACATTGATACATGTGCTAATGATGGATTAATTAGGCTTAACAAATTCGTCTCGCGGTTTACTGACGTATTCTGTAATTTATTTTTTTATTAGTATCCGAACACTCTATATGACATCTTCATGTGATATCTCTAATGTGACACCCAATAACCTTACACACTCAGGCCTTGTTTAGATGAGTGTTAGGGATCAGAATTTGACACTGTAGCACTTTTGTTTGTATTTGATAATTATTGTCCAATCATGGCCTAACTAGGCTTAAAAGATTCGTCTCGTAATTTACAATCAAACTGTGTAATTAGTTATTTTTTTATCTACATTTAATACTTTATGCATGTGTCAAAATTTGATATGATGAAAAGAGAGTGAAAAAACTTGGAATCTAAACATGGCCTCAATTTAAACTAGGCCTGAGTCGTCGTCTGAGACTGAAAGACTGGCGCACTGGCGCTGCACTCGCTCGCTCGTTTATTCGTCTCCTTGCCGAAACGGGTAAGTTAGGAGTTTCCGAGAAGCTTCCTGCATTAACTGAAGTCAATGGAGTAGCTGGTAAACAGCAGTTGGCTTTCTTTCTATTTTGGATCAAAGAAAAGAAGAAAAATAAAATACATACATGTTCCTAACTTAAAAAGGTGATTTCTAGAATTTTTGTTGTATTTATTCAAATTATCGAACAAATCCAATCCAATAGAATAAAAAAAATTGAAATTCGTAAATTAAGTAATAAAACGTAGAGAAATAGTTAATGAATTAGTGCTGCATGTATGGATTTTATTTCGAAATAATTAACGTTTATATTTTCAGATATAGACAAAGACATGTTGATTAGATAAAGTGCTTTACAACTTGTAGATTTGAAAAGACTAGAATATGTTGTTATTCTGAACACATTATTTGACATAAATAGTAGGATATCTTGTACTGGAAGTATGAGGTCATAACATATATATTACAACCTTCTTTTTTGTGGCATAAGGCCTATAAAAATTCTAGAAATATAGTGTGTCAGGAGAGCCGAATCAGTTCCTTTTAGACCTATACGCAGGAATGGAAATTACGCCATGGATGGGAAGAGTAGCAGGATTGAGAATGGACTTGCTCCAGCAGCCAGCGAGTTGTTGACGGGTGCAGATGTGTGGACTGGCCCACGAAGTCAGAAGTTGAATGTTGTAGTACTTGCGTGAACGAAACGCACTGACAGACGCTGACAGTTGTCGATCTTCCATTCATGTAAAGGATTTGGAGTGTGCGGATGCTAGAGCCAACCCACTCCATCCTTGCTTTCTGGTTCCACCAAAGAACACCAAGAGCCCAGCCGCGCAGGCGCTCGACGCTCTTCGCCGGAGAGCATCAGGTGCCCATCACACTCGACGCGTCTGGAACCTCTCGCCTCCGCCGTCATCCGCGCGCCGTCGGGCAAACCTGATGCAACCCCGCGCCGCCGCACGCGCTGGCCCGTCGCCGTGGGCGTAGCATCGCCCCGCCTTGTCCTCGAAGTGTTGGCCGGAAGCTGCACTGTGAATGCCTGAAGCTGCATCGATCGGGCCGATTTGCGCTGAGCCGGAGGCCGGAGCCAGTTCCTAGCGCCGCCGTTGGTGCTCCTGCTGGGTTGAAGCGGCCACAAGGCGAGCTCCGGGCCTCCAGCACCTCTCTGGTACGTGGCGGCTTCCAAGATCCCGTGAATTATTGGTGGCTTGCATGGTGCTGAATCTCCGGGCAGCTCCTGCCAGAGGAATTGGTGAAGATCTCTGGTACATAGCCGCCGAATCATATGGAAATCTCATCGAGATCTCTCATACTTTATTGAGTTATCTAATAATTTATCTCATCTCATGAATTAGGAGAGATTTGGTCTTTGGGAACACACGCATAGTTGCTGGTGGCCGAAGCGAGGCTTGGTCTGCATCGTTCGTGCTTAAGCGTTGAGATTTCCTACGGCTTGCTTGTGAGTTGCGCCGTCCGTGAAGAGGACCTGCAGGCCCCGGCGCGCCGTCCACGAAGACGACGAGTTGTGCCGCTGCATCACCGGTGACGGAGTCAGGTATGGCGAATTTGGCGATTGGGTTACCCAGATGACCCATCGCACTAGACACTGTTTGACACCAAATATTAGTGGGTCGGCCCAATGGGTATTTACACCAAACTTTATGTTTTGAGTAGTGGGTCATTGGGTTGATCCAATTAAATTTGCATATCTAATCCTGTCCTCTGGCGCCTGATCTCTAGCACTCAATCAGTCATCAGTCTCATCACCTTCGTTCTCGTGGAATATGGGGTGGACGAAGGCCTTGTTCGGCCGCCTGACGATGTGGTCGTCCAAGAAGAGCAGCGCCGACTCCGAGTCGTCTTCCTCCACCTCATACCCGCCAGTGTTTGCAGGTACATATGTAGTTTCTTCTTCGCTCGTTGCTTCTTTATTAATTTGATTCACTGTGTCAACTAGCGCTGTTCTTGGTTCTTGCCACCACCAGTCGACAGGACGGAGGTTGCCGTCGCCACCGCCACCGGCGTGCCGGAGCTGACCCTTCGCGAGCTGAACAAGGCCACCCGGTCATTCTCGGCCGCGATGCTCATCGGCAGGGGGAAGAACAACACGGCTGTGTACCGCGCCTCGCTGCCAATCGGGGACGGCAAGGCCGCCGCCGTAGCCAAGAGGCTCGGTCATCCACCTGCCTCCCTCTCCCTCTCCGGCACCTGGAACGCCTCCGACGACGAGTTCCTGAGGCAGCAGGTGCTGGTGCTGTCGAGGCTCAGGCACGACAACCTCGTCCGCCTGCTCGGCTACACCATCGACACCACCGCCGGCGTCCGCGTGCTTCTCTTCGAGTTCGCCGACATGGGCACGCTGCACGACGTCCTGCACGGTACGAACCTATCTATCTAGCTTATTAATTTGGCGCGGCCTTTATTTCTCCGGATCGATCCACCTGAGCCTGAGTGATCGAGCCACCACCGCACCGGCCGACTGCATGCGCAGGGCCGACGGGTGACCCAGCAGCTGAGCCGGCCAGCAGCCGTCCGGCGCTGAGCTGGTCGCAACGCACGGGCATCGCGCTGGACGTGGCGAGGGGGCTGGAGTACCTGCACCGCTGCACGACGCGGCGGCCGTGTCGCACCGGGCCATCAACTCCACCAAGGTGCTGCTGTTCCAAGGCTTAAGATCGCCGACTACGACTTGTTCATGCAGCTGCCATCGGATGAGGACAAGGCCGTGAACGCGGTGGAGTTCTCCTGGTGCTATTTATCCGCCGGAGTACGTGCCCCGTCTCGCCGTCGTCTCTTACTCTGACCTGCTGCCATGGTCGTCGTCGTGGCTTACGTTTGTCATTACGTAACACATGCAGGTACGTGATGACGGGCCAGAGAGGTCATAAGTTCGACGTGTACAGCTACGGCGTCGTACTGCTGGAGCTCCTCACGGGGAGGAAGAGATGCGCCGCCACGCCGGATCTGCGAAACTGTTGGAATGGGTATGTAATAATTTAGCAAAAGGCTTGCAGTTTTCAGCCTGCTGTTTTGTTGCTCTCTTGGTTGTTGCATTGGCCGTTAATAAGTACTATGTTGTAGTACACGTCAATAACTGATGAAGACGTTAATTACATATTTACATGATGATGATGCATGCGCTTGCAGGCAGCTTCGATCCTGAGAGAAGGCAGAGTTGAGGGATTCATGGACCCCAAGCTTGGCACGCAGTACCCACCTGCCCGAGCACTCGAGGTCTTCTACCCTACCCTCTAGCTACTGACTTCGTTCTCGCACAGCCACAGCAGTATGGGGGTTGCATTGCATCCATGATGCCTGATCATCGGATCGATACTAGCTAACTGCTGCCAATGGATTCTGCATGCCCTGCAGCTGGCGAGGATAGCGATGTGCTGCTTGCAAGAGAACCCAAAGTCCCGGCCATCCATGGCCGACGTTGCCCAAACGATCAGCTGCCACATCGTTTCATCGGAGACCAGCATGGGCCAAGCAGGCTAGGCGAGCGCTGGAGGGGCTTTGACGGCGGTGAGGGGTGACAGCGCGGGGCGCCAAGATGCTGGCCACGCCGCTGGGAGTTGACTCTTGGAGTAGGCGGCCTGAGTTGTCGTTCAGAGAGGCTACTTATTAACTAATAAATCGACCATGCACTGCATTTGTAAAGAGTGGTGAGCATTCAAGAAAAAAGTGGTGAGTACATTAACGAAGACTAGACTGACTGATACAGTAGTATGACTATCCAAAATTAGTTTCATGATCGAAGCTGGTCACATCGAAATGGGAGGCTTCAGGGTGTTCTATTAAATTTTCATGGCTGTAGAACCTAATCTCAACAAACACCAGATTCAGGGAAGGAAAGAGAGCTTGCTGGAAAAACACAATTAGGCTTCCTTTGGGAGCTCGGGGCAGCTCAGCCCAGGGAATAGCAGCCCCTAGGGGGATTTTTGTGGACGGTCACATCCCCTCCACGCCACGGGAGATGAGTCCTGTTCCCTGGTGCTGTTTGGAAGCAAGCACAGGGGAGGCAAGCCCAGGGTGGTTGTTAGAATCGGCGGCTGTTTCCAGTTTGCTGCATCCTAGGATTTAGAAAAAACCATCCTTTGCCGTTCAAATTCAATTAAAAAAGAAACAAAAAAAAAGGAAAAGAGAGTACAGGAGCAAGGTAAACAAGCCCAAAAATTGAGAAAAATCAACAAAATTCAGTACATATTCAATAATTCAATGCCATAATAAAGTAAAAAATGGACAAAGATACAATTATAACACAAAAAATTTCTTCCAGAACCTGGCGCCAAATACCTTCAACTCGAGCATAAATGTATCTTAAGAACCAAACTAAAAGGCAGTACACAAGATAACATCCAGATAGCAGCTTGTAATTGTCTTGAAATTATTATTGCACCTTCTATTCAAAATGGCAGTACTAAATAATAGAAAGATATTCCTATTTTTATTAAGATCCAGAGAATAAACTCTACTAGTAATAGCCACTGTTACATCGGATCATTCATGAATCATCAACTGAAACAAATAACTTTGTTTGCAACTCACATAACCTGAGATGAACTAATACTTCTGCAACAATTATGTGCACTAGGACATCTGCAGTTAGGATAAACAAGCATCAAGTTAGTTTCAGTATACAAAGTTCATATGCTCATTTCTTTGAGTAACTTTTTTTGCTCAATTACATATGTTCAGTATGTCTATAGGACTAGAAAACTACATTTCCTTCACCAAATATCTACTACAGTAACTGAATACTGTCAATGGAAATTTCAGAATCATATGCGAAGAGTGTTTCATATCAGTGCGTTGTTTGTGGAATCAGTTAAACATGTATGTTGCAGGAGCTAGTAATTCCTGTGACAAAAACAAAAACACAAGCTGAAAGCTAGGAGCCTGTGACCACTATGTACTTGCCGGTGATAGCACATTAACCAAACCTTACACCATTAAATTTAATACAAAAGTTATTACTAATTGTACCACTAGGTAGATCAAATATTTCCCATAAAAATACAGATAAGAATATAGATAACTCTATGTTGGTAGCACATCACCAGTACAAGTCAGTCCAATGAAATCCAACAAGATATAGTTGCACTGCAAGTACGCTGCAGTTTCATAATAGATTAAAGCTTGCATCTTTCACTGGCCACACTGAAACAGGAAATATAGACAGTAGTGTACTCAAACGTGGGTTTATCTTTGAAACAGAATCGCACTTCTCCACCAGTTAGTCACTGGGACATCTGCAATTAATGAGGCAAGAATCATCTCAGAATACAGGTTTAGTTTAGATGATCTAATGCTACAAGAGAAGAACACTAAGACAACAAGCAAACATATCTGTGAAATTTTTTTCTTTAGCCAAACTAGTCGAACAGCTGGATTTTTGGTCATCATAAATATCTGTCGATTCATCTCAGATTGTAAGAGCTCATTAGCATCTGCCTTTTGCTCAATAGTTAGGTCTTCTATGCTATCCACAACAGCAATGCACTTTTCTACAGAATAGTCATCTTCTTTTTTCTTCTTCTCATCTAGTTTTTTCTGATTTTCTCCATCTAGATCTTTCTCAAGTCTATGAATTCGCCGAGTTTAGCTGCCATTTGACTTTGCTTGCGTTTTTTCCCACTAGCACTTGCTCCCTCCTCTAGATTGAGATAGGGTGGTGCAAATTGCACTTTTGGGCCCTCAATTTGAGAAAAAAGGATTTGTACCAAAATTGATGCCAACAGAATCAGAGCCAGCAGCCGTGTTCTGTGTACTTTGCTTTGAGTGACTTCTTTCAATTGGAGGTCGTGTTGTCATGTTAGGTGGCTCGGTTGATGTAAAATTTAAATCTCCAGTGGCTATACTTCCTATTAATACACATCACAGATACACTCTTAGGTATTATTCAAAGTTATTCAGCACCATAGGCACATGTTCATTTAAGAAACAGAGCAAACAAATGGTAAGGCCATAATGATAGACAAAATTATGGTTCCCTGAACTCTAGACCACCAAATAAACATAGTTGTTCTTTTAGACTCATGAGCTGAATAAAATAAAGAGCACACTTGTACAAAAATTCATGACAGTTCTGAATACTCTTACTGCAGCACAGATGAGCTGAATAAAATAAAGAACACACTTGTACAAAAATTTAGATTTACGATACAACTAGCTCATGAATACAGCACCACAAAAACTGTATTCATGAGCAAACAAAGGAAAATTACCTGCATACAATGATGCCAGGTGTTCATAAAGAGGAAGTGGCTTCTTTTGGAACTTTCTGACTTTGGGATACTTCTATTAAATGCAACAAAGCAACATTTTGGTTAGCTTCTTAAAATAGTAAAACACAAGATTATATAATTGATGATGTAAAGTGACTAACCTCAATTAGGTCTTCCCATTTCTTTGGTTCGGCAATTATCATGCTTAATGTCTCATTCCAACCAACACCACTCTCTTTTCTGGCATCTCTAACTGTCCTATAGTTTCCTTTCAACTCCTTCTCCTTCTCTTGCATTTGTTGTTTTGAAAAATAAGCTCAAGGGAAGGTTTCATTGAACCGTTTAGCAATATTTCTCCAACCATCCGCTGTCGAGCCATTTTGTGCCATGTACATTGGGATATTGACATGCTCTTTCATTACATCCACCAGCCCTTTCTCATATGTGTAGCTCCATGCGGCCCTTGTACCCTGGGACGTTGACATTGCTGAAAAATGGTGAAAGATAAATATAAGCTAAAATTATAGAAATATAAATGTAAGGTAAAATGCTGAAAATGATGAACAACGCTCCAAATTACCATCTAATTATTATAGGCAGCCCACATCGCTTGCGCAATTTGATCTCGTAATGTGTTACCATCACTCGATTCTATCTCGCTTGGATAACTGTTACCCCCCTCCGGCATATCAACAAAAGTGGTTGGATTGATATATTGTGGTTGGTGATCTTGCCAATTATCTTGCCCATTGTGCGCTCTAATTATATTGTGAAATACCGCTGCTGCTGCAGGAATCTTGATCTGAGTCTTAATTGGATAGTGTGTTCCCACTTTCAGAATTGGAAACCATTTTTTCAACACCCCAAATGCCCTTTCAATATGATTCCGAAGTTGTGCATGCCGATGATTAAACAACTCCTTGTAGTTTGCATACTCATTTCTTTGCGATGATCCACGCCTTCTAAACTCGCCAAGGTGGTACCTGAGAGCGAATAGGTCTCGGGAATTGATTGATAGATTAGCAGCAGTACAAGGGCGCCTATTCTAACAGTACCTAACTCCTTGGTACGGTGCTATGAATGATGGAGTGTTAGCATATCCGCCATCTATAAGGTAGAATTTCCCTGGCGGTACATGAAAACCCTTCGTAAGAGCAGAACATAGGACTCCTACATCAGACGCAGATCCTTCCCACCCACAAGAGATGAAAGTGAATTTGAGATCAAAGTCACAAGAGAACATAACATTATGGGACAATGTCCCTTTTCTGTTTCTAAAAGGAGGGGCCTTATCTTCATTGATAGTAATAGGGATATGTGTCCCATCAATGTCGCCAATGCAGTTCTGCACGTAAAAAGGAACCTAAGATTGTTGGAATAGTGTGTTTAGAATGATACAAGGGCAAGCAGCATATATGACTAACCTGGAAGAACGGCATGAACCGAGGGTTTGATAAAATCTTGGCATGTGTTTGGTTTGGATTTGGAAGCTTGATGAATCTATGAGTCAATGTTGGAATTATATCGAAGACCTCATTGACTTTCCTATGAATTGTCTCACCGCTGTGTTGGAATGCTTTCTTCAGCGTTTCAATGCTAGCATTATGGGAGAGCATGAACAAAAACATTCCTAATTGCTCCTCAATCTTAACACCGCGTGTGTCACGTAATAAGTTTTCTGCTCTGAGAAGATTTGCTATAGCTCTAAAGATCTCAACCTCCATTCTAAACTCTGACTTGCACCAATTTTCGTGGCCTTCTAGGATTTCTTTGACCTTTGTGGCACCAGGAAGAGATGACGTGTGTTCTGGCATCTTTTCATCATAGAGACATGACATGACAGCAGGGACAATAACAAAGAAAAGTTCATCGTCCAATTCTTCCTCATCTAACATGAACTGCCTAACATCCTCCTCCCAAGAACTCATTATCTATTATATAGGGATAATATTATTAAATATGATATAATATAACTAAAAACAAGAATTATAACTGATGTGCCAAACATAAAAGAAGAGTTCTATGAACTGCAATACATAAAAGAAGAGTTCCCTGAACTGCCAAGCATAACAGAAGAGTTCTCTGAACTGCAATACAATTTTCAAGTAGATCGAAACGAGATTTGCAAGAACCTATTACTCAGTCAACTCCTAAAGTTCAGGATCTAGGCTGATCTTACTCCAGTTAATTAAATGGGGCAAATATGTAAGGTCTTGGCTAGGTTAGTCCAACTCAGTAAGTATAGCAAGTTAGTAACCAGGATTTATTTTT